CCCCCCCACCTGAAATCTCGAACTATTTTCTGTTTCCCCGTCTTTATTTATTCTTCTATTTACTCATCTTCCTTCCTTTACTAATCCAAACAACATTAAAATAAAGTAGGCTAAGAAAAAAGTGGGGGGAGGAGGAGGGAGCCGTACAATAACTGCAATCGTGGGTGTGCGCCAAGTCCGTAGACTTGCATCGTTTTCCAGTGTGAACAAAATGGTTATGTAATGGCTTCCTAAAGAAACCATTGATATGGAACCAGGTTTGCTCCACTGTACGAATTTTTTGCGATTTTTCCACCAAGTTTGATGAAAATTGATTGTGCAGTTTCGGCTGCCCAGAACACGCACACACACACACACACGCCTAGCGCTATAGTACTCGGCGAGGTAGGATCTTTCTGCTCCCGAGGTAACACGTGAACCAGATAATGTTCACCTGTAAACAGGCGAAGGTCTTTAGGCTGTATTCAGTCAAGCGCCCTGCGCGCAAGGAACTGAACCTCCTTATCCTGAGGAAGTTTGTTGACGCCACAGGAATCACGGGGGTGACAAGGGTCGTCCGCAGAGACAGCGGTTGCCTTATTGTCACCTTCGCGGAATGGGGAGAGGCCCAGCAACTAGAGGGACTTAGAGAAATCAACGGGATACAGATCCTAGTTGAAACCTGTCTAGAGGACAACTTGGTTTTGGGAGTCATCTCCCACTCAGAAATCGAACATCTGGAAAAAGAAGAACTGGCCGAGTTGATCGGAAAGCAGCTCTCAATACAAGGGAAGCTCACCAGTACTACTGCGCTGGTTGGCTGCCACAAGAAACTTCCAAGCACCGTCTTGCTGGGATGGGAGAAGATCCCAGTAAGACCGAACGAAAGAAGGCCTACAAGATGCTATAAATGCCAGAGGTACGGCCATCTGGCGCGGAAGTGTCGTGCTCAGGAGGTGTGTTCCAGTTGCGGGACACCCGGGCACCAGGACACCAACTGCTCGGCGGCCGCCAAGAAGTGCCCAGCTTGTGGTGGCCCTCACTCCTCCGACCGGGAGTGTCCCAAGTGGAGGGAGGAGTGTAGGGTGGCTAAGCTGCGAAGTAAGGAAAAATTGAGCTACAAGGAGGCTCTCCTTGTAGTGAAAACTGCAGCAAAGAAGAATCAAGACCCGAACAAGACCACAACAAATATAAATCAAGACCCCAAGAAGACCACGGAAAAAGAAGAAGCCAAAATTAAACCCGATTTTATAACACTATCAGCAATCCCGTTTATACACGTGTACGAAAATCTTCCAGAACAAGACCAAGAAGAAGAATGGAAATTGAAAAGTAAAAGAAGAAACTTGCTGAGAGCGGTTGTATGTACCGAGAATGTAGACGTCATAGCAATCACCGAAACTTGGATGAATCTGGCGAGCAAAATTTTTTTATCAGAGTACCACATAGAAGGGTACAACCTTTTTCACAAGGACAGGGATGGTAGGAAAGGGGGAGGGGTCGCACTCTTTGTCAAGGATACATTAAAATGTTGTACTAATAATTCAATATAGGGTGAAATAGGAACCGAGTCTGTGTGGGTAGAAATCACGGAAGGAAGAGAAAAACTAATTATGGGAGTGATTTACAGGCCCCCAAGTCTTGGCAAAGACGCAGCTCAGCCCATATGGCAGGAAATGAGTAGGGCAGCAAAATATAACAACCTATGCATTATGGGGGATTTCAACTTCAGAAATATTGACTGGGACAACATTGTAGGCGACTATGAATCTGAAGACTTCCTAGACGCAGTACAGGACAATTTTTTGAAACAACTAATTACAGAACCTACTAGAGGTGACAATATATTAGACCTAGTATTAACAAATAAAGAAAATATTATCAGAGATATCACAGTAGGGGAAGAACTAGGTAACAGTGATCACAGAGAAATCAGGTTCACCATAAATTGAGAAACGAAAAACAATGACAATATGGTCAGAGTCCCAAACTTTCGGTTGGCAGATTATCAGGGGTTAAGAAGGTACCTAGGTGAGGTCACCTGGGAACAGTCACGTCAGTTCCCAGGAGGAAGGGGTGAGGTCATAGATGACACAACAATTGATCATGACTATAATATATTCACTTGTATACTCCATAAAGCACAAGAACAAAATATACTACACAGAAAAATTAGGTCAAATAAGAATGAGCCAAGGTGGATGACCAGAAAACTTAAACATGACATAGGAATAAAGAAAAGAATATATAAGAAATTAAAGGGAGGGGAGGAGCAGCTCAGAAACAGGTATAATGAACTATCTAGGAATGTTAAGAAAAATGTAAGGACAGCAAAGAGAGACTATGAAATCAAAATAGCAAGAGAATCCAAGGCGAATCCCAAGGGATTTTTCCAGGTACATAGGACAAAGGTCAAGGACAAAGTTGGGCTTTTAAAGTCAGGGAGGGGAGAATTGATAAATGGCAGTGAAGAAATAAGCAAAGCATTGAACAGCTACTTCTTATCAGTTTTCACAGAAGAAATTTGCGATGAAATTCCGGAGGTGGAACTGATATTTAAGGGAACGGAACAAGAGAAATTACAGAATAACACTATCAGAAAAGAGGATGTTCTTAAGAAGATAATTAAACTAAAGAATACAAAATCCCCAGGGCCGGATGAAATTATTCCTCGAGTCTTAAAAGAGTGTAGGGAACAGATTAGCGGACCCCTCGTAAACTTATCCACAAAATCATTAGACACTGGAGTTGTGCCAGAGTTGTGGAAACAGGCAAATGTAGTACCCATATTCAAAAAGGGAGACAGAGCATCAGCGTCAAATTACCGGCCGATCAGTTTGACGTCAGTAGTGGGGAAATTTCTTGAATCAATTATAGCAGATAGCATCCGATCGCATCTAGAGAAAAGCAAATTAATCTACGACTCTCAACATGGGTTTACAAAGGGAAAATCTTGTCTAACAAATCTGCTAACGTTTTTTAGGAAAGTCTTCGAGGTAGTAGATAATGACGAAAATTACGATGTTATTTACTTAGACTTTAGCAAAGCATTTGACAGAGTACCGCATCAGAGGCTTCTGAGAAAAATTAAGGCTCATGGTATTGAGGGGAAAGTTTTAAATTGGATAAAATCATGGCTCACCGATAGAACGCAGAGGGTCAGCGTAGATGGTGTTAAATCTGAGTGGGGCCGTGTAACCAGTGGGGTTCCCCAGGGGTCAGTACTAGGCCCACTCTTGTTCATAATCTACATAAACGATTTAGATACTGGGATCAGCAGTGACATAAGCAAGTTTGCGGATGACACCAAAATAGGGCGGCAAATTAATTCAGGGCAGGATGCAAATGCATTACAGGAGGATCTAAATAAACTGCAGGGGTGGTCTGAAAAATGGCAAATGAAATTCAACACCAGCAAGTGCAGCGTACTTAATATTGGAAGAACAAATACTTATAATGTATACAGCCTTAACAACATCAACCTAGAGAAGTCGACTTGTGAAAGAGACCTAGGGGTACTTGTAAGCCCGGACCTACGGCCTAAAAAACAGTGCGTTAATGTTCGAAATAAGGCAAACAGAGTATTGGGTTTTATATCTAGAAGTGTAAGTAACAAGAGTGCAGAGGTGTTATTGCAACTATATCTTGCGCTAGTTAGGCTGCACCTCGATTATGCAGTTCAGTTCTGGTGCCCCTATTATAGAATGGATATAAATTCACTAGAGTCGGTGCAGCGAAGAATGACAAAAATGATTCCGGGACTTAGAAACCTTCCATATCAGGATAGGTTAAAGAAACTTAACTTGCATTCCCTAGAAAGACAAAGAGTGCGGGGAGATATGATAGAAGTAGTAAAGTGGGTGAAAGGAATCAATAAAGGGGATATAGATATAGTTCTTATAATATCCGAGCAGGATAGGACTCGGAGCAACGGATTCAAGTTGGATAAGTTTAGGTTTAGGAGGGAGATAGGAAGAAACTGGTTCACAAATAGGGTGGTGGACGAGTGGAACAAGCTTAGCTACTTTGTAGTAAGTGCGGGAACTCTGGAAAGTTTCAAAAGGAGGCTAGATAGATTCATGGATGATAGAGAGTGGTAGTAACTCTCGACAGGAGCTGCCATGCACAGGCCAACCGGCCTATTGCAGACTCCTTATTTTCTTATGTTCTTATGTTCTTATAAAACAAGAAAAGGAAGAAGTCCAAAGAAAATGAGTCTATAATCAATCAGCTTCGGCCGAAATAGCCTAACGGCGAAGTGGCCAGTAATCCCCAATACCACCACCACCCCTACTCATGACTCGATGAAAGTCTGAGCCTTGGCTTCATACCGAACTTCCCCCCCCATATCGTTCAGTGGTGCAATGTGGTAGCTCGAAGTTTCGCTGTATCGTACGAATAGCAGTTCATGATGGAATATTTGAGAGAATATATGCACAATGCAGGTTATTTAGTGACTTCACGAGACTTTATTTACCATCACTATACCCTGACTGCAACTTCCCTCGAGCCAGGAGTAGAAGTAGAGGATGTATCAAAACATGGCGCGTGAGTGTACGTTCCCTTCAGCTCTGGCTAGTGAACGATGAAGCCCTAATATCTCTGTTTTATAGTTTGTTTCATTGGTAGAAAAAACATTGAATTAATCCTACTACTGTATGATCAGTACCACCTCTTATTTAACAGAAGCCTTTGTTTTATCGTGAGTCCTATCGTTTTTTATTGTCACTTTCATTATTTCTTTAACTCTCCTTCAGAGGCGAGAAGGTATACTACCAGGTATGTGAGTTTTTAGACCAGTGATAGCGCCAGTTAAAGTATAGGAGATGTATAATAGACCTCAATGGACCTAAACAAGGGTTAATTGAGTTAATTTATCCCTCTTCCTATACTGAAGGGAGCCCAGGGATAATAATGAACTCGGAATATAAAAAAGTAATGTTTGCTATGTTAAAGTTAGAATGTTTAAAGACAAAAAGGTAAATGGCATATAATAATTTGCATATATATATTATCTTTAGGGTGGGTGCGCCGTTTTATGGACGTTTTCTTCAGCTAATGTCTCGGTTGGAAGATGCAGGCATAATAAGTTACTGGACAGACGAAATTATAACAAGGCGAGTGAGAGAAAATAGGGAGGCGACAGCACCTGAGTTTATGATAACCTACAGGAGCATGTCAGAGGTAAACAACATCATCTATTTTTGTGGTATCGTGTTAAGAAAAGTATTGCTTAGTTGTATGATTGCATTTCATGTTATTATATGCAAAACAGAAACGATCTAATCAGAATACATCAATATGATATAAAAAATATTCTTCCAGAACGACGAAAACCAGGTGGTGCTGGGGCTACACCATCTACAAGGAGCGTTCTATGTGTTGTTTCTGGGCTGTGGCGTCGCTCTAATCACTCTATTGGGAGAAAACCTCGCCCACACACTCTCCTCGTCTCCGTAACGCTTTTACTAGCATACCATAATTTAGACCAGAAAAGTAAGACCCTGAAGAATTAGAAGTGTTATAAAGAAGAGAGATATACTAGATTTAGTAAACAAAATAACCTGTTCTATAACCGGAAGTCGTCAATGTTCGCAAGTTGATTTGTATTCGTAAATGTCAGAATTGCTGCACACAGTGTAACATTAATATGCAGTTTTCATACAAGAATCCATAACTAAGCTGCACAGTATGTTAATATTGCTCTATAGACATGCTAAATGCCTATTGTGACGTGACGTGACGTGACGTTGAGTCCCGGGAGAAGAAACCAGCAATTATAAACTACGTCAACAACCACAACAAACCATAGCTAGACCACATGGGCATGGAACGTGTGAAGCCGGCTGAAAAGTCAGAGGTGACGTTTCATGGCGCCACTGGAAACCTGATCACTGATTGGGTGTAGATTCCCGCCAAAAAGTGATGTGGTGACCATAGTACACTGGCCAGAGGAGAGGCAGGTTTGACGTGGCTGAGGAAGGTGGAAATGGTGGAAGGAGTTCAACACACAGAAACGACCTTCACTTGAGTATACATTATAATGTTGAGAGTGTGTGAGTCAAGGAAAGTGGAGGCAAAGTAGGATAGAATATTGTTTTTGTGTATTGGATGTAATATTGTGTGTAGGATATAATATTGTGTTGGGTTTAATATTGTGTAGTAGGCTTGAAATTTCGCAACATTATACTGGTAAAAAACGGTGACGTTATGTAATGTTCTTTGTATTGTATTGGTTGGTGTACCCCAACCCTCGTTTTGGTTTGTTCACTTGTCACTGTAATTATGATTAACGTAACTTGTTTGTCTAATGAGTTGTGAATATTCCCAAATCGGTTATTACTTGTAAACTTGTCTTTTGATTCGTTTGTTGGTACTTGTCAGATGCCTTATTTCTTTTGTTAAATGAATTTGTATTTTAATTTACTCTCGCTGTATTGCTTATTCCTTTCATTTATTAATTTCATTGGCGACATTGTTATTTTTTTACTGTTACCGGAGTGGTGAACTATGGTTTCACACAATCTAGGACCACCAGCCCCAAATACTATCAACTGATGCCCGTAGGACCCTTTGCTTGGCGCTCATACAATGCCACTTGGATTATTCCTGCACGTCATGGTACTCTGCTGTAACGCAGAAGCTAAAATCCAAGCTCCAAGTTATTCAAAAGAAGGCATGACATAAGAGCAAGAGATCACGTTGGTCAAGTTCTTCAATCACTGAACAATGAACATGTTAAGTGTGGTAGATAGAGTGAAGAAACTAAGGCTGAATCATGCTTACAAGATTTTCAATGGATTGTGCCCAGTGTATCTAGCAACAAACTTTGCAAGAATTAGGGTTATGAACCGGCAGGGCGCTAGAAGGAGCAAACATAATTTTATGGTACTGTACCTGGTGTCCGCGCTCAAGCGAAAAACACCTTTTCTTTTACTGCCATAACAGATAGGAACAAGTTATCACACCCAATCACAACCAGTTACCGTACTAAGCAATTAAAAGATAAAACAAAGAAATACATAATAGATGAAGCTACAGCAAGAGAAGAGAAATTTTCTGTATAATTAAACCATAAAATGTAGAACTGCGGTAGTGATCCGCCATACTGTTACTGATAAGTTAGGCTTAGGATAATTATGCATTTAAAAATGGCTAAATATGCATGCAAATATGCAGTAAAAACTGATAAAATATGCACTTAAATATGCACTTTAAAATATGTTAATAAATAATAACTACTAAGTTAATAACTCCTTTTCTGTACATTTTCTCAGTAAATTTACTTTCCCAGACAGGATGTCGCCGAAGTAGGATTTTTTAAAGAAGGATTAAATACAAAAAACAATATACTAATATAAAGTAATTTATTAAACAATACTGAAAAAAGTATTTTCCTTTTAAGAAAACAGAAGAACAAAAGAGTGTCAGGAGGGAACTAATGGAGCCCGTGCATCTATATCCTGCCTGGCTGAACAAGAACCCATCACGTACAGTTCATGTCCACTGACTAGCCAATCACGGCCTAGCTAACCACAGCCTAATGTTGAGCTATTTAAACGTCACTTAAGTATGTTCCTTTTGGATATTATGACGCTAAAACAAAATAGCGTATTTTCGATTTTGCATTAGTGCAACATAATGGACATTTATTATATTTCAAATATCAGTAATTTCTGCCCCAGCGTTGCTGTTATGCTCGCGAATTTTTTGACCCTTGAGGTTGAAGAATGTTTTATAATATTTTGGAATTTTCCAAATATATGCCTTATAAAACAAAAAAATATGAATATGCACTTTAGCTAAAAAATGGCTTAAATATGCATTTGCATATGCACATACTGTATGCAAATGCATAATTATCCTAAGCCTAGGGACCAAGCGTAAGCCCAAGCAAAGGACCCTCCTGGAAATTAGCGCCTGACAGCTTTGTCGGCTGTCCTTGGTCAAGTTGCCTTACTATTTACCATTGTTGTTTACTTGCACTGCCTCGGCACACAGAAAACGGTATACTCCCATTGTCTACGTGCACCGTTTTCCTACAGTGTCTCTATTCATGCTGAACTGTGACTGGAAAGTTTACAAACATACTTATCCAAATTTAAACCTGTATGACAACTTTACTGAATAAATAATAATTATTATTATTACATTTACGCACCCCCCTCCCTCCTGGCCCCGATGTGGGTCAGTGACCTGTGCCCGGATGGGCTAATCCCGGTAAAAAAAAGAAGAAGAAACACTCCGTCACGTTACGAAGGTGGAATTTCTGGGGCTCGACTTCAATGGTGCTGGTTCCCCACGCCCTTAGGAGGAAACCCCTTATTAAAAACACATGTTTTCTTGTGTCTATACAATGTCATCCACTCAGACGACAGCGTCATATTCTGGTAATACCTAGGTATCATTACGATCCCCAGGGGGGGGGGGGGCGGTGGTAGAAGCGGTATTGCTCTTGCCTCGCAAGCAAGATGTCACGGGTTCGACTCTCGGGCCGGTGGAAGTTGTTTGGACATACTTCCTAGCCCCCAGTAGACCCTGTTCACCTGTTGTAAGTCGAAAGTTGCGAATTCGTATTCAGGGAGTTGTTGGAGCTTCCAATAACTTGATGACATAAACCATTGACTCTTCAGGCTTCTACGCCCTTAACTCATGAGATATAAAGGCAAGCATGAACTTAGCACGCTTCTCTGTTTGGCGCTGTAAACGCTTCTGCGCTTCACCTTACACAAGGATGTAGGGGGGTGCCCAATAAAAACACAAAAAAAATTACGATCCCTGTCTTCCTCGAAAGTAAGCTGGGCGACTCGAAAAGGATAGTAGAGAGAATATGTATATCTGTGCTTAGACTAATTTATCTCAGGTTTTCAAGACCAGATGAGAATCTTAGAAACATATTCACAAAAGTCACGAACCTCTTCACGGACGACTCCCTGTGGGGAAAAACAGCTTTCCTGGTCCGCCAGCATTGCCGACATTCCTTTTGTCTTGCGTGGCAACAGACAAACTGTTTGAGAGGTTCTTTCCAGAACCCCTGAGAAAGTCTGCAGGAGAAAACAATTCAAGGTTCACATCCCAAGCACATAATCCATTGCCCCCAAACGACGTTTTTGAGAGGGCACTAAATGACCTGTGGAGAGCTCGAATGCTGGCATTAAGTTCTCCTTAAGCCATGGACTTTCTTCTAGCCACCCCAAATTTCTCTTAAGGCACTCGCCTTGATCCACAGTCCTTCCGTGGACTGAAGAAGTGTTATCCAAGGGCGTGAGAGATAACAGAGAAGCTGCAGCCTTGGACCTCATTAAGGACACACTGCAGGTGAATATCAGATGTTTACTATTACTCAATACTCCTATTAACTAATACTATGCTAGTTCTGTCCCTCTAAAAACACGATGTATGCACCTCTGTTTTGATGCTTTACTCAGACTTAATCGCACACACTTTACCTCGGCCGACACGTAATGTGTGTTTTACCTGCTATGGGAGACATACACCCCACCACCGCTCCGTGCCTCATTGTTAACACACTTAGCAGCATCTTCAGCCGTCAAGCAAAAATAAATAAATAAATAAATAAACATAAAAGTACCGGTGGATAGCATAGATATTTTCACCCTGGTGGTGGAGAACCTATCCAACTCCTTAACATTCATTGGAGTGAAAATTTTAGGAAGTTCGAATTTGATACGATTGTTCTTTTAATAATAAGTGTAGTCATATAGGTGAGGGAAGCACAACTGAATAACTATCAACATGTTATGTGTTACAAATAACACAGTAACACAGAATCTATTACTTTGTTCAAATATATTTTCCGTAAGAACACGAGTTGCTTATGCACGTAAAACTTGGTATTGTTAAAATTCTTAAAAAAACATATACTCGTAGATGAAGCAAGTTTTAACTACTAATAAGAATAAGGATAAACCATCTAACACTCTTTTGATATAAATAGAGAAAATAAATGAAGAATAAGACAAATAATATTTCCGAAAATGTATATATTACAGCAAACGTCCATAATCAGGATATGCATGCATTTCATTAAACTTTCATTAATACGTGTACTCCCTGTTTCACTGAGGAATTTCATATATTTACTAAATATGATAGGACATACGTGTATTTCCCAATATTAAGGACTAGGGCCGGATGAAATTTTCCCTCGAGTCTTGAAAGAGTGTAGGGAACAGATTAGCGGACCCCTCGTAAAGTTATTTACAAAATCATTAGACACCGGAGTTGTGCCAGGCTTGTGGAAACAGGCAAATGTAGTACCCATATTCAAAAAGGGAGACAGAGCATCAGCGTCAAATTACCGGCCGATCAGTTTGACGTCAGCAGTGGGGAAATTTCTTGAATCAATTATAGCAGATAACATCCGATCCCATTTAGAGAAAAGCAAATTAATCTACGATTCTCAAAATGGGTTTACAAAGGCAAAATCTTGTCTAACAAATCTGCTGAAATTTTTTAGGAAAGTCTTCGATTTTTTTTTTTTTTTACGGGAATTCGCCCACCCGGGCACAGGTCAAATGACCCACAACGGAGCCTGGGGGGCGAGAAAAAAAAAGAACGGAAAGAAATTGTAAAGATAGAAAAAAAGGTTATACTGTATTAATCTACACCACGAAGATGCCGGAAAACCAGCTTTTTAAAGTGAGACGGATTGTAAGAGCATGGAAATACAGAAGAAGGCAGAGCATTCCACAGTTTGGCTGTGTGAGGAAAGAAGGAGGTACTATAACGGGTTATTCTCGTGTGACCGACATCCACGGAGAAACGGTGGGCACCACGGGCAAGACGTGTGTTACGAACCCACGGCCGTGCCGGCGGTACACAGGATGCCAAATCCACTGAACATTGCCCGTTAAACTACCTGTAAAAGAGAGAGAGTGAAGCAACATTGCGGCGAAGAGAAAGGGAAAAGAGATTGTCGACTAAAGGAGGAGAGTTAATAAGACGAAATGCCTTTGATTGCACCCTATCTAATAGTTGGACAGAAGAAGAGCCACCCCAGATATGTGAGCAGTACTCCAAGTTAGGACGAATGAATCCCTTCATATACTTGGAGCAACTGCTCAGGAGTGAAGTAGCTGCGGCATCTGTACAGCATTCCCAACTTTCGGGAGGCAGCTTTAGTTATACTAAGGATGTGTGATTTCCTGGTCATATTGGAGGAAATGATGAGGCCTAACATATTTATTTCAGAATTTGGGAGGATGATAGCGTCATGAAATGTAATTGGTGGGAGATCGTCTAATTTACAAAGTGTAGTTGGTAAGTATTGAGTTTTGTTACTATTGAACTTGACCAAGTTTGTATCTCCCCATTCAGAGATGCTGCACAGATCCGCGTTGATAGAAGTAATGATATCAGTTCTAGAAACAGATCTAGTTTGAGAGTTAGGAGGAAGGGGAAAA